CTATTATTGTATGTGTGTATCTCTCTCTCTCTCTCTCTCTCTCACACACACACACACACACACACATACATACAGAGTCATAACACAACTTTCAGGAGTCAGCTCTCTCCTTCCGCCATGGGTTCTGAGAATCAAACACAAGTAGCAAGTGCTTTTACCCACTGAATCACCAAGCCAGCTCAGTGACCATGTTTTCTAAATCAAAAGCTGGGGCATTGTATTTTGAGTTTCAAATGTTGTGATGACAAATATGTTCACACAAATGATCAAGTTTTGCTACTTTCTTGAGTAGTTTTATTGATTCAGGGGACAAAAAATTTTCATATTGGTAATCCATGGAAACTGGGTCTATTTGGATTTGTCTTATTTCTAACTCTGAGGGGAGATCGCTGTTCTGGTGAGTGGCTGAGACAGCTGTGCAAGACCACAGACTTCACTGTCAGAGCCCTGGCCTCTTGGGTGCCCCTCTTCCAGCAGTAGCAACCATTGAGAATATGGCTGTGTCTGTAGTAATAAGAATAATTTCTTCAGTCAAAAGGGATGTTCTAAAGTTCATGTATATTATTTTGGGAGAGTCCATGACATCTCATTTTGTTTACAATTTTAAATTATTTATTTATTTAATGTGGGTGAGTGTTTTGCCTGCATGTAAGTGCACCCATGTCATGCAATGCCCAGGGAGGCCAGAAGAGGGGGTCGGATCCCCTGGAACTAGACTATGGACAGTTGTTAGCCACCATGTGGGTGTTGAGAACTAAACCAGAGTCCTCTGCAAGAGCAGCCAGTGCTCCTAACTGCTGAGCCACCTGTCCAGCCCCCATTTTATTTATAATTTAAACCAAAGCTGGATTGTCGAGCCCACAGAAAATGGAAACTACCTCCTTAAATGTAGGTTGGATCACAGAGTGCCATGCCTTCAACCGTCTGTCTCTTTCCTTAACACATTCTTCCTTGTCTGCTGATCCACAAAGTCGGGGTGTCCTGGAGCTCTGTGTGCCTGCCATTCTATCTGGGTTTACAGTCTTTGGAGGAATGCCATCCAACCCATGGCCCTGTGTCTCCACCTGCCCACGTGGTCACATCTGCACCCGCAGCCCCACCAGAGTGCCACCTGGACAGCATCCCTTAGGGGTTCCACAGGCAACCAAGTTTACCATGTTCCCAAATCAAAATCATTTCCCAAGCCAGGCATGGAGGTACATGCCTGTAATCCCAGCACTCAGGAGGCAGAGGCAGAAGGATTTAGATTTTAAGGCCAGCCTGATGTCATAGTCTTAACCATGCACTTAATTGGATTGAGAGATGCCTAGGAGATCAGTAAAGCACACAGCTGGGTATGGAGGGTGTTTTCAGGGATCGTTAAACCTAGCGTATGGTTTAGACCATGAATGGACTCAAACCCTGGATACTGGGAGGTGGTGGAAATGTGGAAGGTGAGACCTGGTTAGAGGAAGGTCACTGGTGGCTGTTTCCTGTCCTGACCCCTTCCTGTTCCTGCTCTGCTCTGTTTCCTGGTTGCTAAGATCTGAGCTGCTCCACCACTTACCAGAAGCCAAAATAATTCCTCCCTTTAAGTTGTTTTCCTTGGGCATTTTGTCAGCCATATAAATACAACTATTACACACGGTGAGACACTGTCCCAAAAGGAAAAAAAAAATACCCCAAACCTGCTCCTCCCGCCACCTTGGGTCTAACAACACCATCTTCTATTTGGGAGAGTCCATGCCTGTGTGAATGAGGCACCTTCACAACATGGATGACCCCACAGGGGGACACTGTGGGGTGGATGCTGTGAGTACTGGTTCCCAGCTGTGCCTCCCCTTCTGGGAGTTGGAGGAAGTGCCAGGTTGTGTTAGGGCTTGACCAACACTGGAATGAAGCTTAAAACAGCCCCACTGGTGCCCCGGGCTCTGGCATTGCTCTTTGTCAATGCTCTCCACCTAAAGGCTCTCAGAGGTCATCTGGTGCCTGCAGCGCCCCGGTCTGTCTGTCTGTCTTTGTGCATGTGGGTAAAATGTGTGCATCCTCCATGGGATCCAGGGCCTTGCCTTGCCCTCCCACGTCTCCTCTCTTACCCCTCCCATTTCCCGGCTCTCTTTTGTGCACACCATACTTCCTCAGTTCCTGGAAAGGGCCCCATACTTCTTTTTGTCAAACTTTGGCTTCACCCTCATTCCCACCTCCCTGACCTTCATTGACTGCCCTCCCACCTGAATCTGGCTAAGTCCTACTTATTACCCAGCCTAGCCTCTCATCAGCACCAACTGAGGAAGCTGTGAAAAATCCCAGTGCCCAGGATATAAATCTGAATTTCTGGGGCTTGGAGCTTGGGGCCCAGGTACCAGGATTCAAAAATCAATGGACTTTATAGGAAGAAAACCAGAGCAGAAAATCTGGCTTTGGCCCTAAGATACTTGCTTTATATTAAGCAGGGCCTGGGCAACCCCCACTACCCAAAGTTCTCCAACTCACAGCTTCTTTTTACATTTAAAAAATTTTC